TTAATGAAACCTCCAAGAACGATGTTAACGACTTGAATAATTGCATCATAAAAGTATTACAAGAAAGTTACCGAGTGCACTGCCCTAAAAGAACATCAGATAATAAAAGAGGTTGTACTGAAAGGCTGCTGGATCAAAGAAGACAAATGAGAAGCGATATGAATGCAAACAAGCACACTCTAAGAGAAATGAATAAAACTGTTTCGAAGGCAATCAGGAGATATTTAAGGAAATTTAAAACCAGTAATATTAAACGCACTATGGAGAAAATAACAGCCTAAAAGTTCTACGTAGAAAGCTAACGAATGAAAAATGCGAAATCCATAAATTAAGAAACAAGCAAAACGAAATAATATCATGTAGAGACGAGCTAATACAGGTCGTCGAAGAGTTCTACGAGGGAAGACGAGAAGATCAAACAGGAATACAAACAAACTGTCATTCCAAAGGAGATCATGAATCAAGATTCCGAACTAATTCCAGAGTTAAAAGTAGATGAGATTCGACAAGCATTAAGAAAAATTAAAAATAACAAAGGCCTAAGAGAGGATGAAAAGGCTTAATAGAAGCTATCGTAAGTGGAGGAGATATGCTATTAAATAAATTAAGGAAACTGTTTAATCAATGTTTGCAGCAAAGAGAGGTGCCCAAAGAATGGAGTAATGCTATAACCATCTTTTTGCATAAAAAAAAATAGAAAGGACCCAGAAAATTATGGACCTCTTAGACTGGTAAACTACATATACAAGCTCTTCACTAGGTTAGTGACATCAAGATTAGAGAAAAAAATTTGATTTCTATCAACCGAGAGAGCAGGCCGGAGTTCAATCAAATTATGGTACCAATGATTGCCTCCATACAGCAAAGACACTTATTGGAAAATCTATAGAATATAACAAACCTCTTGTCTTCACTTTCATATATTTTTATGAAGCTTTCGACACGATCTAAATAGACAACCTTATAGAAGCAATGAATGACAGCAGGATTGATCATAGGTATAGTGAACTTATTTACAATATTTACAAAAATGCCACTATGACTGTTAAGATACACTACGGGGCGGAAACTATGACTCTAACCAAGGACTTCGAAATTGATAGTGGCACACTGACAAATGGAACGGTTTTTGCTGGGAGTGACGTTGTGGGACCTAGTAAGAAACGAAGATCTGCGAAGAACGAGGAGTATTCCTGATGTTGTGGAACGCATTGCGGAACTGAAATGGAACTGGGCAGACTGAAGGCAAAGAGCACAAAATCGTAAAGGTGTAACATTTTAAATAGGTAAAGAAATAATAAATAAGACTTACTCACAATCAATTTAATTTAACTATCAGACGACCGGTTTCGCTTTCTACAATATGCAAAGCATCCTCAGGTCTCGATACAAAGTTAAACAAATGCTAAAATAATAAAAACCCGTATTAGGATGTTGTCTAATAACGATAAACAAAGTAGATGTTGTAAATTACAATAATTATGCCAATATTACATGTCTGTGGTTTTATTTAAATGAGTAAGTTGAATAAAAAGTATAAAAGTTTTAAAAGTTTAAACAGACAAGGTAAGGCCCACAAATTGTTATAAAATAGTCTCTTCGATTGTAATAAATTAATAAATGAGCAAATAAATAAAATAAACATTACTTACATGCCGGTACTCTATTAATTGATGGATGGTAGAACATGGTTGAAATTACTATGTATTGTTAAATGGAAAACTCACTTCTATTATTGCAGTTGTTTGACAGTAAACGGGAAGTTCTTGAGGAGATAGATTTGATCCAATGAAGAAGAGATATGTGTATGATTGTTTGTTAAATGAAAGTGATGTAATATAGCACTGTGTTATTAAAAGTTATTTATACTTATTCGAGAGATATATTTTTGAAATGTGTGTTATTTATTGAGTAATTGTTTTATGAAGGTGACAGTTTTATGACAATGAATAAGTTTAGATGTAAAAATTGTGTGGGTGTGCAATTATTTTCCAACTTGTAGTTATCAAATTACTTTGATAAAGTTCTACTGGCAATTAGTAAATTATTGAAAAGTCAAGTAAATAAAATATTAAAATACAAAAAATTAAGGACACTTTAAACACACTAAAACAGAAAACACTTAGAAGGGACGAAACAAACATTGAATTTAAAAGGGGGAACTGCTTTAATGCACTACATCTCAGTCTTGGGCACAATGAGTTTTTATATGTTTTATCTAGTAGATTTTAGTGGTAAATTTGACAGATGTAGGTTAGCATGTGACAGTTCTTCTTCTGTTTCTCAATACTGTAAGTTAAGTTATCTAGTTTTATGAAATATGCTGTTATTAATGAATGTCTATAAATTGTTTCAATTTAGATATCAAAAGTAAATTGATGTGTTTAATATTGGCATACTTTAACAATCTTTAATTAATCAAATTTAATGTAACAATATGGATACTTGAAATTCATCCTACAATATAACTAACTCAGTCTAATGTCCAAATTACTGAACAAATTAAAGTAATTCTTTGGCAACTGAACATGTACGTTTTATAATCAAATGTATAATAAGTTTACAAAGTTTTTTATTTTTATTTGAAATTGTTGTAGGTGTGAGTTATCTGTCAGGGTGTTTTTTAATTATTTGAGATATTTATTTCAAATTCTGATATATTAATATCTAATATACTAATATGTGACCAAAGTAACAAATGGATAATTATTGATGGTAATTGATTTATGGGCTCAAGAAATTGACTGAATTATAAAGCCTTCAGTAATTAGTTAGTAGTTCTAATATCTGACAGTTGAAACCGGAAATTGTTATACAAACAGGTAGAATGATCCTCTATTTAAACCGGTATAAAGTAAATTTATTCTTATTATTTCAATTTTCGGTGTCATATGAACAGATATTCCTCACACCTACATGGACAATGGTGAGTTTGTACAATTGTTTTAAGTAACACTTTAAAATTTTTTTTTTCAATTAATAGCAACATTTTGTATAGTTTTATTTGTCCATATAACTAAACCTCTTGATTATTTTTTTATTGCTTCGTAAAATCTGCATTGCTTTATTTACTATACTTAATGGTGTTTTGATCTCTCCTTCATTTTTATGTATGATATTTGGACCTTTTCGCATAGATATTTCTTTAAGTATTTCAATATATTTTGCTGTGCTTCTATCTTAGTTTTGCCGGTCCAAAGTCATACTTTGGGCTAGTCATTCCAGAAAGTCATTAGTCGTTCCAGACGTTTTCTTCAACTCCCTTCTCCCTTAAGTCTTTATCGATTCCTTCTCTCCAACTTAATCTAGGTCTACCTTGCTTTCTTCTTCCATGTGGTGTCCAGTTCAATACTTTCTTTGGTATTCTGTGTTCATCCATTCTTTGGACGTGTCCATACCATCTTAGTTGATTAACTCTGATAAATTGTGTTTAATCCCCATAATTTCTCGTATTCTTTCGTTTCTAACTATGTCTAATCTTGATTTTCCAGCCGCTCTTCTCCACAAGTCCATTTCTGTTGCTTCTAATGCTTTTAAGTTTTTTCCTTGCAGTGGCCATATCTCACTTAAATATGTAATGATGCTTTTTATTATGCTGTTATAGATTTTGTGTTTGTTTTCTTTGGAAATTGTTTTATACCATAGTACACTGTTTAATTGTCTAATGGCTTGTCTTCCTTGCTTATTTCTTTGTTTAATTTCTTCATCTAATTTGCCATCGTTGGTTATTTGCATGCCTAAATATTTGTGTTTTTTACAGTGATTTATTTCTCGCTGTATTTCTTCCAAGATTAGATTTTATTCAATTCCCCCAATGCACATGTATTCAGTTTTCTTGATATTTACTTCTATCTCCCCATAGTTCGTCTTCTTCGATAAGTTTACGGATCATATATTCGAGGTCTTCATAATCTTGGGCCATCACTGTCTGGTCATCTGCAAAACTCAGTGTGTACAATATTGCGTCGTTTAGAGGGATTATCATGTTTCTGCATTTTCTTTTCCACGTCTTCAGAGCTTGCTCTGAGTAGATCTTGAACAAAGTAGGAGACAAGCAGCATCCTTGTTTGAGTCCTTTGCTAAGAGTGAAACCCTTGGATACCTCCTGGCCTTTCTTTATTTTACTTGTGTTGTTCTTATAGAGGTCTTGAGCAGCCTTGATTAAGGTTACACTAATATTTGTTTTCTCGAGAGCTTCCCAGAGTTTTTGTTGCGGTACACTATCATAAGCTTTTTTAAGGTCCACGTAGCAGAGATGCATTGATTGATTTCGTGCTACTTTTTTTCGATTAGCTGGGTAAGAGTAAACAGATGATCAATAGTAGATCTGCCTGCTCTAAAGCCGGCCTGTTCTTCGGCCTCCATATCACAGAATTCATCTTCCATTCTCTTTTTGATGAGTTTCCATACATCTTTACTTCCCGTTTTATGTATTGTTGTGATAAACGATGTTAATCCAGAATTCCGAACCCATATCACGGAACCATAGACAAATTGGTATGACGTGGATACAAAATATAAATCCACATGCCAGTGCATTTCGGGGTATTCATCATCTGTTTGTTTTGTAACATTAGAAAATACTGATTTGGGCCGAATCTTGAATTCGATTTCCGTCTCTCGGTAAATATTCTAAATATTTACTTTTATGGATGGAAAAGGTTTTATTTCGATGTAGCTTACCATGGGTCCGCTATGAGGATGCCAAGAGGAAAAGGCAATATGCACATCAGCGAATGGTGGTATGCTGTAACGAAGTCTTACCGTAATTGCCTATTTATATCTTTATTTTTAGTTAAATTTTAAATAATATTTATTACTTTATAATTTCTCTACAAAATGTTTTTATACTTAACACATTTATTGATATTGCCTAAAAAAAGAATTTGTGTGAACTTACATTTTGCAAATGCACCGTAAATCGTTTGAAGGAGAAAAACATAATAAAAAAATAATATATTTTCCTCAAAATGCTTATAGAAAAAACTATCTTTACTCACCTTCTGTAGTTGAGCGATGTTTTCAAAAATATTCGATTTCCCTCTCAAGTATCTCGGCAAATACCAAAAGCAAACATTCATGTACTGCCTCTTGGAAACCAAAAGGAACTCCGATCGGTTATTCACTTGCTCCTCGAAATATTCAGCGATATCCATAAGCGTATCAATATGATTCGCAAAACCAGACGAACCCTAAAATTTATATTGTATTAGATAAAAAATATTCATTTATTCATTGGTTCTTATATATAATATTCTTTGGTTCATCAACATTTATCATTATTATTTATTATTATTATACTATTATCTCAGTTAGATTAGATTAGATTAGATTATGTGAGGTCGTTAAGGCCGTGCGGTCTCACCGCACTTCGACCTAAACAGATCTTTTGTGCATACCTTAATCTAGTTAAACTCTAGAATGCCAATACTTCTGATGAAGTTGATTAGCTTCCTAGGTGACTTGTTTCCTATGTCAGAGCACGCCAGACTCACCTCTCCTAGGAATTTTAGTTGTTTGCAGAACAGTGCTACGCAGTTGCATAGTATATGTTCTGCCGTTTCTTTTTCATTGTGACAAAAACGACAGTTCTCACTATCTGATTTGCCCATCTTCTTGAGATGATATCTCAGAGGGCAGTGAAAAGTGAGAAGGCCAGTGACCATTTTAATATCTTTCTTACTCATTTCGAGAAGGCAGTTTGTTGCAGTAGGCGACACTTTTATGAGCCTTTTTGCTTGCCTTTGTCCTAGTGTGTTAGACCAATATGATCTTAGTTGATTGAGTTCCCAGGTACGGAGTTCCTCTCTGATGTGGCTTTTCGATAGTCCACAGAAGGGTTCCGGACCCTGGAATGGGGTATTAGCTCCTTCTTTTGCGAGGCTGTCAGCTTCCTCATTTCCTGCAATTCCCTTGTGACCTGTCACCCACATCACAGTTACATTGTTGCGTTCCGCCAGCTTCTTGAGAGATTGTTTACAGTCCCAAACCAACTTTGACTCATATGTAAATGACTTTAGAGCCTTTAAGGCGGCTTGGCTGTCTGATAAAATAAAGACTTTTGCCCTACGAGTGTCTCGGTTGAGACATTCTTGGGCACTTATGTCTATGGCATGTATTTCTGCCTGGAAGATAGTTGGGGCGTTTCCAAGAGATTTAGATAGCCTGAAATTGGGCCCAGTAACTCCCACTCCTGCCCTTTCATCTATCTTAGATCGATCTGTATACCATACGAGTGAACCCTCTTCCACTTTTGGCTCAATTTCTTCACCCATTTGGTGGTTTTTTATGACCACTTCAAAGGGTGTTTCAAAGTCGAATTTGACTGGTATAGCATCTGTCGGCATGTCCTTAGAATCCATTGGAATTTCTTTCACGATTTTCAGGTGGCCAACTAGATCTCCAGGTTTCATTATTTGTGTCTGTCGCAGTTTTAAGGCGGTAGTTACTGCCTCCCTCCTTATGCAGAACTGCAAGGGAGAAAGGTTCAGCATCGCCTCTAGAGCTGCAGTGGGGCATGTTGACATTGCCCCTGTGATTCCCAGACAAGCTAGACGCTGCACTTTTTGCAGCTTGGCGTTAGCTGTTGTTTGTTGTGTTTTTGGCCACCATACGAATGATGCGTATGTGACCATGGGCCTAATTATTGTTTTATATGACCACAGAGTCATTTTCGGTTGTAGGTCCCAAGTCTTTCCAAATGTCGTGCGGCAGGTCTAACTTGCCACCAAAGTTCTGGATAAAATTTTTTCAATATGACTATTTCAGTTGGATCTGACAGAGGTATGACAGAGTTTTTAATCTAGGGTTACGCCCAGATATTTAACTTCTTTGGAATAGTCTAATGTGATGCCATTCATAGTTCGAGCCTGTAAATTGTATTTACGTCTCCTTGTGAAAGGAATCAAAGTCGTTTTACTGGGGTTGACACTTAAGCCCTCCTTCGAACACCAGCTTTTAATTTTGTTAAGAGCAGTTTGCATGAGACTAGATATAGTCTGGTCATGCTTGCCCCTAATTGTAACAACTAGGTTATCTGCGTAACCTTGGGTTATAAAACCAGAATCATGCAGCTTAGTGAGGAGGTCGTCCACAACCAAAGACCACAGTAGAGGCGATAATACTCCCCCTTGAGGGCACCCCTTTACCGCTGTCACAGTCACAGATTCTCCTCCAATACTAGCAGTGATGATTCTCGTTTTTAGCATTGACTGAATCCATTGTTTTAGTGAGACTTCAATGCTTCTCTTTACTAGTTATACTTAATTATCTCAGTTAAAATTATATATTATTATTAAATGTTTCTCTAAATTTTCTAGAAAAAAAATGTGCCGTCTATCTGATACTAATTATTTATATGCTGAAAAAGTTCTTTCTACTTCACATGAAGTTAAAAGAGGAAACTTAAAATATCGTATAATTGAGGGTTAATTTTAATTACTTTTTGATATTCCTCATTTTTCTTTAACACTTCGTAGAATTTTTGATATACTTTGTTGGTTTTTCCAAGGTGTTGAATTTTTTCATTTAATGAATTATTTGATTGCTATTGATAATTTCAATACTTTGGTCTAATGAAATGTTTCGCTTTTCTAATCTAGTAATTAATTCAGCAATATTTACAAAATTATGTGCCAACATTATTACTTTTTAATAATGGTCGTCCACACATTTTTTTTATAGCAACTGAGCTATCTACATCGAAACTACAAATGACGTATCTAATTCCCTCAAAATGATCGGTTATAAAATTTACTGAATTTAACCATGTTCCTCATCTAGTTATCACTGGTTCAGGTGGTACTGGTACATTAGGTAAACGATATTTATACGCATGTACTCGCAGAGAAGCTTTTAAAAATATATTTTTTTTATATTTGATACAAGGGTATTGACCATTAGAAACTTTGTCCTTACGGTTTCTGCTACTATACGCTACCTATTTTAAGATTAACAGGTAACGTGTTTTAAATTTGGAAAAAACATTTTTAAATTCTGTCCAGCTTTGATCATATATGACTTAACAATAACAAATTTTTTTCAGTTGATATTGGTTGAGGTAAAAAAAGTTATTCAGACATTCATTTACAAATCTACAAATAGTTACATTGTTCGTTTTTTTGCAACTCTTTAACGAAATTAAATATCCGGTGCTACACTCACTCCTGCTTAAACTTCCTATAAGCAAATTTGCGATATACCGTTCTTTAACAGTCGTCTGGTTAACAACTATCCATATTGGATTATTTACAATTGCAGTGATACTCTTGATTCTGATCATCCGGTGCATCCTGCTTCACAACAAACAAGGCTTTGGCGTTCGAGTGATTGCCGGTATAAGCAATCCCCCACTTAATGACCAACAGCTTCGGGCGGACGAGTTGGTAACTGGTAGGGCACTCTTTTGTCCTGGAATTGAAAAATGGTTTTCGAAAGCGGAAAAACTATAAAACTATAAATTAGTCAACGGCATAAGGATGCAGAAAGCAAAGGAGAACTACTGCATTAAGGCCTTTTGGCACTACTAGTTTTAAATACCATAACAGTAAATAATTTAAGTCAAAACATTAATGATCATGGATCTCGGAACCCAAGATCCGACAAGAGAGGATAATCTGAAGACTGCAGGGCCTTTTAGGTTGTTAATATCCGAAATCCTTGCAAAATAGATACACGGAATTTCAGAAGTATGTTTGAGTCATATAAAATATATAATGCCATAAAAGAAATAAACAAAAAATGCAGATCAGCTTCCTCGGAATAAGCGAAATGCGATGGCCGGGATCAGGAGTATGTGACGTAGATGGATATCAAGTGTATCATACCGGAAATACTGATGCCAATCACTAGAAAGAAGTTGCAATCGTAGTAGCAAAACAATTAGCTCAATCAGTATTAACTTATCTAAGATATCTCCATATCTGACACAGTAATGCTAGTAAAATTTAGTTCAAAGCCGTTCATTACCAATGTAATACAGGTCTATGCCCCAGCATCATCCAGTAATGAAGATAATTAGAAGCATTTTACAAAGATCTTACTGATGCTCTACATCTTGTCAAAGCAGCAGAAAATACCATAGTCCTCGAAGATTTTAACGCCAAAGTCGGCAAAGGACGCTGTTTGAACATTGTGTGGGATTATGACTTGAGAAACAGAAATGAACGTGGAGATAGACTAGTCCAGTTCTGCCAAGAACACGATTTCATTATATTGAATACTCACTTTAAACTACCACCAAGAAGACTCTACACCTGGAAGTCAAATGCAGAATCAGAGGACAAAATTATTAGGAACCAAACCGACTCATTCTAATAAAAAATCGATTTAGAAACTGCATCAAATCAGTTAAAACTTATCCAGGTGCTGACATTGGGTCTGACCACAGTCCCATAGTAGCTGTGACCCAATTAAAATTAAAAAAGGTGATCAAAAAGAAGTCTTGCAAAAATATGAATACAGCCCAATTACAAGAACAGAAAATTAAGAAATTAGTTCAAAGACAAATCAACGAAAATTTAATTTGGGAAAATATTGCTGAAAACTTCGATGAGGGCTCAAATAAAATCGTAACAACAGTAAAAAAAATCTGCGTAAGAAATTTACAAGACAGGTCAAAGCTAAGAAAGCAGGCTTGGATGGTAGCTGACATATTGGATTTGATGAATCAACGGTGACTAGCGAAAAACAACGAAACACTTCACAACAGTATAAAAAAAGAAATTCAACGTAAAATACCATAAGCAAAGAGTCAACATCCAGCCAAACAGTGTCATGACATTGAAGAACTTCTAAAAAAAGACACGACACGTTTAACATGTATAAAAAAGTAAAATAAGCGGCTGGTATTGCAATCCAACAAACTGCATTGCTACAGGATGAACATGGTAAAGTAATATTTGAAGTAGAGGACAAACATAAAGAATAGGAAAATTACGTCACGAACCTATTCGAAGACGATAGGAGTAGTTCACCTCCCGATATTACTAATTGCGATGGACCCCTAATAACACGCTGTGAAGTTATACAGGCCATACAATCATCAAAAGATGGCAGAGCGGCTGGTCCTGATGAAATTCCAATTGAAATATACAAGCTTATAAATGATGTAATATTATATGTAAGTATGTACGATTAGATGTAGTATGATATTATAAATATACAATGTTTTAGAGGCTATACTTCGTTTTTC